AGATGATTAGTTTATCAACAGACAAACACAAGACAATGACTTCATAATGTCTCAGTTAGAATACATACAATATAAGGACAAGAGACACTGAGCAGTCAATTGTCACCTCACCCCTTGTCTATGTATGCCCCCCTTAAGTTTTCCCTCTTATTACATATTATTCTTACTTATGCTTGGAAAGTATTGGTTCAAGCATAAACTTACCTTGTACAGAACTACTTCTGCCTCCCTAAGTTTGTTTTGTCTCACAGTAACACTCTTAGCATACATGTCTGTAATTGCTCAATCACAGACAGAGATAGTAATGTGTATGTTGTGTATGGTCTGGCTCTTGTCATTAATGTGGTCTTCATCTCTATCAAGTGTATTGAACAGCTTGACTTCCTCTGGTGAAAGTACATCACTAGTATCAAGCACAAGTTCAGAGTGTAAGCCCTCTAAAGTACTGTGACACATACTGAGACCTATCTTCACAGCTTTCTTCTTCTTTACAGGCTTGAAGAATAATGTGAGGATAGTGTTAAGAAAGGGAAGAGAGGTTATGTGAGAGGCTTAGAGGGATCACACAAAGAGGGGGGATAGTGGACTTGGCTTACTCTCTTACAGCTTACTTTATTGTCTGTTGATTAGTTAGTCTATATATACTATGTAGGTATGTCTCAGATGTAGAATGTATGATGGAAGGTATTCCATCATTGTTTGTCATTGCTTGTAATGTAGTTTATATCATCTGAGACATACTCTTGTATAGTCTTGTCTTAACAGATAGCCTAGTTATACTGTGTTGTAAGCAGTAAATAGACAGTGTAGCATAACTTGCCTTACCTTTGCTATGAGATTAAGAATGTGTGTAAAACATTGAACTCTCGATTTTGATCCTTAGAAGGTGGGTATAATTTTTTTGAGCTTGATTACTGTTGTGTCACAATTCCCTGCATTATCCATACTGAGGGTATGGACCTGGTAAATACAGTGTTGAAATAAGTTGAAGAATAGTATGTCGAGTCATCAAAGACTAACCTTTGACTCAATCTCATATTACTTGAGACAATCAGCAAGTTGATTTGCAAGGTATTCTCCTGAGTGACAATCTGTCAACCTAAGTGGATGTTAGTATGATGGCCAAATACACTAGTGTAGCCTGGCACGATCTGTAAAGCTCAAGCAGAAATGGATGTGAGTGACTCAGACAGTGAGACACTAAGAGAAATGTGTATGTTTGAATGCAATTTCGAGAGCCTGGCACAATCTGTGAAGTCTAAGAAGAAATGGATACAAGCATCTTACACAGTAAGACACTGAGAGAAATGTGTACATTCAAATGCAAATTCGAATTATCAAGCTCAGGAGTAGCACAGTATGCAGAAACAGATACAGAGTAGTATTGAATGTGGAGAAATGAAGTGATAGAAACAAGAATAACACTTACTGAATAAATTCAAGGATTGTACAATGAATTTTGCCAGAGTCAACCCAAATCACCACTACACCAAGGTATGATGCTCCAATTAGTGCTGTCCACCCATCAATAGCAAGATGAACACTGTTAGTGTGATTCTAATCAAATATAATCAATACATTTGTTTTTTTTAAAAGACAAAAAAAATACTTTGAAGTAATTACAGACTTGAATTAATAATCCCTAATACAAGCTCTTGATATTATTAGAAACTGTATCAGGGGAGGGGAGTGAAGTTCAAGAGCAGAGCATATTAACTTCAAGTGTATAAAACCTGTCCTTCACAAAGTTAAAGGGCCAGTTGTATCTTACACATCTTAGTACAATAAGAGTCTAGTGTATTACCTTAGAATATAGTAATATAGTATTACAAGCCTTAGGAGGGACATAGAGACCTAGTGAGGAATCACAGAGATGAGCTGAATGTAGCAGTTTTGCTGTTCCATCTCTTGTCCTAACCTGCTCTCACATCAAAGGTGTATGATAAGGATTTCCAAGCTAGCATTTGAAAATGAAGGAGAGTTTCTTTAAGCCTGCCTGATTAAACTAGTGTACAGAGACATTGTAATGGTCATATACTAGTGACTTCCATTTGTCTCTACTAGCAGCTTCAATACAGTATAATTAGTAGTAATACTTGGGTAAATAAAGTATATAATGTACCAATAATCTCTTCATCACTTAAAACCCAAACTTGATCATCTGACTGATCATATATAGAAGTCTTTACTCTTCTCTGAGTTTTTGGTGCAGAAAGCTGTACAGGCAGAGCTTCTCTCATGATAGAAACAGCTATAGCATCTATGAATGATACCAGTGTGGGTGATGAAATGATACCAACTGGTACTCAAAACATATTGTAATTTTGGATGAAATGAGAGTGAGGAGATGTTGGTGAATTGATTTGAGACATTTTTTTTAACTTTTTGTGTAGTTGAATTAACAGAATGAATGAAAGTAGTTGGTTTATTTTTTTTCTACTACAATAATGCAGCTACCACAAAATCTGTAGTAGCTGTAGGAATCTTAACTGTAGTTAGCATATCTGTAAGAATCTTAACTATAGTGTGGATCCACAGTTAGAGCTATCCACACCAGTCCCTAGTAGAGTGGTAATAGTATTATCATGTAATATTACACATAATATCAAAATCAATTCCTAAATTCATATCAGGCATTTCACAATTTCTTGCCTTAAAAAATAACTTACATAATGTTAAATATAATTCATAATTTAATTTACCATTTTTGGTTGATAGAAATTGTAAACAACATTTAAAAATTTCTTTAGACAAAAACTATAAATTATTTTTGACATATCTTTATTTGTGAAATCTTGAAATAAATTTAGCAAA